AACTTAATGAGAAGGAAAGAGTGAAAGCAGTCTACATGCTTTCAAGTTACAAATTCTTAGTCAAATCAATATTTGTTTTTGGTTTGGTGGACAACTGTCAGCYAAATAGCGCAGAAGCGCCAGCCAAACTTTTTACATCTACATAGAGGGATCAAAACTGRCCAATGAAGTGGGCGCCATTGGTGATCCATTGCGCGGAGCTTCAACTCAGGTGACTCTTAAAACATTTTTAAGAATACTGCAATATATTCCATCGGAACTTTTTTCATTCAGAAAAACGCTGCAGACAACAACGTAGTAAACAACATAAAGAGGCCAAGTGGCAATGARAGCACTAATCTCACATCGCACTTAGAACCAGGGAGGCAAAAGATATAGCGGCTGCTGGAAAGCGGTTGCATATATTTTGGGTTCGTTTAGAAATGCCATCAGTCTGATCACCAAAACACTAAAATATAAATTTTAAGTCTGTAAAAAGTATACACAAGGAAATTTTCGAAAGGCGGATCGTGGTGAGATGGAATGCCTAAAATATATATTTTCAGCGTCCAACACATCAAGCCATCCATAAAATCATCACGCCGTCGGTGAAATCACCATCAGCGATAGCATCATCATCGYCAGCATAATTGTTGTTATTGCGTTTGTTTGCGTCGTTAAAGTGCGGTTGGTTTTCAGAAGTGTTGTTTTTATTGTTATTGCGTTCGGCACCATGCAGCGATTGTCGACACCATTATTAATTTGTTGTTATTATAATCATTGTTAATGTGTYGGTGTGTTTTGCCAGCAGATTGTTTCAATGTCATTAATTAGCAATTAATATAAACGAAGCGAGAAAGTGAAGTTGTTTCGTTGGGTTAAGTTGTATTTGTGGGTTGACGTCGTTGAATGGCAGGAGTTTTGTAAAGAAAGAAAATGAAGCAAATATATTTTGTTAGTATATAATAAGCATTATAATTATTTTTGTTGCATTCTATGGATATTAGTTGATGTAAGTTAGTTTAATGACAATGTTCAAATCACACAATGCTTCGAAATAATGGAATTGGTCTTATTGTACTTTTTGATTATGTAAAATTGTAAAATATTTTAAAAAGAGTCGTTTTGGTTTTTGCATGCTTTTMTAATTCTTTCTGTATTTAAATTGTAGGCTCATGTTCCAACTTTAGTGTTTACCAATAAATAGAAGAAAGGCTAACCTATACTA